GCATTAGTGGGGGCATCCACATTATAGGCGATGTCTAATTAAGTAAATGCATGTAGAATAGGTGGAGCATAGCGGCGATGATTGAGACTCAAAGTATGGGAGAAGGGCAGTGGGAGAGTTTAGCATGATTGTTGGCGAGTAGTGAAATGCTATTGATTCTAGGAGGACTATGATGAGGAGGACTCCTTAATCGCACTAGCGCACTTAGGAGAGCAACAAGCTGTTGATCGAACCAATAAGGCTCTGGCAGAAGATACCACCAAACACCCAATCCTAGCAGAAGACCTGTGAATAGGACGAATCAATGAAATGGATGGTACATAAATTGTGATAGCTTGTTCAGTGAACTACATTGTACAGGAAATATCAGATCAGCGAGGAGTAAATATTGCGAACTACCAATTACTTGGTTGTGTTCTATTCCATCGTGGAGTGTTAGCCATCTGTGGGCCTCTAGTTAGTAGTTTTACAAGTAGGTGTTTGTATTGGTTCAGCCCAATGATGTTTTTTTATGCAAGAAGAGCAAGTAGATATTGACGTTGTGATAGAAATAAGCCATTAGCAATAGAAATCAACACAAAGAAAGGAGGACGGGAACCTACATCCTTAATATAGAACGGACGATCAAGTTATGCAATTCTAAAGCTACCCATGGAAACTATATTATCCACATATAAGATATCATATATAATGTCCTCAATTTTATATGAGGATTTAAGTGCAAAGTTTGAGACATCAGGGGACAAAATTGGAGTTATTTCTTCTTGAAGGACAGAAGTAGAAATTTAGAAAATAAGATTTAATCGAAGGAATGGTAACTTGAGGTTTATTAGTGATAATATAAATCATTTGAGGATTGTAATGAAATAAGGAACTTAATTACAATATATGAAATTTCAGGAGCTACACAGCAATTTAAGAAAGTTACATGATTACCATGTTTAGACTTGAAGTATAGTTTTGAGGATGAATATAGGTTATTATTTGAGATCTAGAAGCAATCTTGCATGTTTAGTAACTTGGAGGTCCAATTTTTTATTTTGATAAACTTTAGGGACTAAATTACAAATTTGAGGAAATATTTTGAATTTTTTTCAGCAAAATAATATTTCTAAGGTAACATGTTTGGTTCAGTTTGAACATATTTACCGACTATTTTGAATTTCAGACCTTGTCTAACAAATTCATGTCACTTCGGGTTTCAATTTGGATATAAAGATATAAACCATGATGGAGAATAATTAAAGGATTTCAGCTATACTAATTTCTTGATTTTTTGACCACACGAATTGGATAAGATGTATTCTCAATGATTATTAGGGGCTTTTTGAGGACCTAAATTCATTTTTTTCAATGTTACAATATTTTATTAAATTTTCCTTGATGATAAAAATAAATTTTCACTTACTATAGAAGGCCCCTTCACATATTAAAAATTTTTCTCTCAATTATTTTTATTTTTATTATATTATAATTTCATAATTTCTATAAATTTCGAAAGAATATTGAGCGCAAAATTCTTTGACCTTTGCCTCTTTTCCTCTATTGTGAAAAACCCTGACATCCTTTCTTTTTGGTTGAAAAACCCTAGATGGCCCAAACCTTTTGGTACATTTATACTATCGAATTTCATTAGTTTAGGAGTTAAATGCACTAAAGAGGGGCAAAATTAAGAAAAGGTAAAATTGTAATTGAGGTCCCAAACCTTTTAATTTTTTACAGATTATAGCCAAACTTTTAATTGCAATTGTTGGACAATAATAAACTTAACTCTTTTTTTCTTTTTTTTTTCTTTTTCATCCACATGTCATATTTTTCTATCAGTGATTTTGACGAAGGTGGACGAAGTTGCCTTTTTTAGGACACGCGTAATCCGGCCCCTCCATGAAGTAAGGTCCTTTTTTGTATTTGCAAGTACTTTTCTTGTAATCCTAATTCAAAATAAAACATTTCATGTTATTAAGGTGGAACAAAAGAAGTTTAAGTGACAAAGCAAAAGTTGTTATTATAATTTTTGTGGCTAGACACGTGAAATAAAATTAAAATTAGTGAGTGACAGATCTCATTTTATGACGTGATCGAGATAAGAGGTCATGCTCAAGTGAGAGCAAGCCAAGTTAAATAGACCAAGCTCATTTCATAAAATGGTTGAGCTCAAGAGATGCCCAGTTTGAAGATTGAGCTCATACTAAGACGTGGTCAAGCTCCAGAGGTTGAGCTACTAGCTAAACTTGAGACAGGGAGCTCATTTAATTAGATTGTTTTGTTCTCTTCACAACTTCGGTCAAAACAAGTATAGAGTAGTCTAAACCTCTCAGGGCACATCCCAACTGGCAAAGATGAGGGCACTTCAAGGTTGACAGATCAGAGGTTGTGAGTTTGATTCCTGGAAGGCTCTTGGAAGGCAGATATTCTCCTGGAAGGCAGGAGCTCCACTGGAAGGCAAGGTGCAAAGATGGGAAATACAACTTGCTTGACATTTTGACAGATCAGTTGGGGGGTTATTGAGCACTGATCAATTTGGGCCACAACTTGCGGTTTAACCTGTCTGCATCTTGAGGGGCCAAAGTGTAGACTCCAGAATTTAGTCACCGTAAGGTGAATACTTGGATATAAAAAAAAAAAAAAAAAAAAAAAAAAAAAAGTATAGAGTAGTCTAAATGGTACAATATAAATAATTATGTAAGATTTTCGTATTTGCATTTTGTTTATATTATCATCAAAATATTCTTTGCTACATAACTGCTTCAATCATTACATTCTTCTTTATTTGGTTGCAACGCTGTGCCCATCAAAGTTGGCGAATGATGTTTTAACATAATACTTGTTGTCGCAGACATTGACGAAGTCAGGATATTTTATTTGTGTGGACAAAAAAATATTATATAGTAAAAATAATAATAAATAATATAACTATAATTGTTCCTAACGTGTTTTCATATTTTGAAAGCATTGTATAATTATATAATTATTAATTCCGTTAAATATATTATTCTCAGTATACAACTAAATTGTCATTCAATCACTGATCTGCATTTCGATTACACAGCCGAGTCTTGACAAAATTAATTGTAGAAAATGTCCTCACAATAGTAACAATAGCAATCCAATGTCACTTTGTCCAATAGAAGAGAAGAATCAAAAGCTATCAGAAAAACAGAGAGAAACCCACCAGAGGCTGGTGGTGGATGATGTCGACACCCTTGGCAGACCATTAATTATTCAAGACAGACAAAATTATGAATTTGTTGTAAAATTATTGGAAGGACAATTGATTAACATAGTACAAACTCATCATGTTTTGTTTTGGTTTGAATTAAATATTGATGTGGACAATTTGGCCCATTTGTACCAGACGTGTTTGCTTGATAGAATATATAGATTAATATACTACACCTAGTACGCAGTGGTCCAATTCTCCATTTATTTATTATATACAAAATTACATTATTTGTCCCCAACTATAAGCCAATTACACGGCTTTCGTCTTATTTCCCTAATTATACAGTTGTAGTCCCTACTATTATTCGTGTTTACATCTTTTACCCAGTTTTTCTTATTTGAAAAAATTATTAGGTATTCCCTTTTTGTGTTCACTATTATTGCTTGAAGAGATTATTTACTTGGTTTCTTTGTGTGTATTATACTACACATGGTTTCTCCTTTAGACCACTTTTGAGAGAATAGTGGCTGCTCGGTCTATGATTTTTGTCTTCGACCATTAGCTGCCTATTTTCGTTCTCTATGACCGGCTATTGCTCTCCCTCACCGGAGCCTGTCTATAGCTTCTGTTTTGTACCTATGACAGCCCCGGTTTGCACCTTCTTATCGTCCCGGTTTTGCTATCTATTTCGGCAGCTTCTCTTCCTTCATTCGCGACGTCATTTGGATGAATCCTTTGTGGTTATGGCACAAGTTTCTTTGCAATGGTCCGATGTTAAAGTTGCCTTGTGATTTGGGTGTTGATCTGAGCCCTGTATAATCTACTTTCGCTTGCGAATTTCATTTTGAAAGAGAAGTTTAACTCTTGCTTTATTTACAGTGTTCATATTGTTATTATCAATTGATTTGACCTGACTTTTGTAATTGGTTTATCGATTGAAGTTTGAAATTACACGACAAGTGTTTCTTTGATGTCCCTTTTAGAGCCAATTTTTATAAGACTAAAGAGGACAGGAATAATGTTTGATTTGGTGCCTCAAAATCAGGAAAAGAAGACAAGAAGATTGCGTGTGGTATTTTACTTGAAAAGAAGTCAGATGTTATCCAATAAAATAGGCGAAGAATCCGGGAAATAAGGAAAGAAATTCTTTTCCAATTGAAACTTCGTGCGACTGCACTAACACACACTATGCGGTCGCACAAGGGCTGTCAGGGAATTTCAACTACCAATTAATCTACTCCATGCGACCGCAATGAGTATACCTGTGCGGTCGCACAGTAATAATTTTTGGTGGCGGCGAATTTTTTCCTTTACGTGACTTTTAACCTAGTTTGCATATTTTCTCCTTCTTTTACGGTTTGACTCGTGTACTATAAATATAGGGATCCTCTTTTCAGTTTAAAATGTAACAATAGAAGCTTTCATTGCTATTGTACTCTCCTTTCATAGTGTTGAATAAAATATCGTTTATTTTGCCAGTTCTTCTTTTATTTTCTTTACTTTAATCTTGTTCGTGATATTATTTGTGATCTTGTTAATTACTTTAATTACAACAAGTGGTGTTCATTAAATCTCAATTCCTGCATTATTGGTCATCGATCCCAACAAATAACAGATATACATGTTAAATAGAACTGGAAAATGGCAATCCCAAATTGTATATATAGATGATGTCGCCTATATTTAATATATAATAAAATTATAGCCGCTTTGCTCTAGTGAATGTAGACACATTGCCGAACCACTTAAATCCGTGTTCTTATTTCTTTGTCGATTTCATATTTGTTATCATTATTATTGTGGCTCAAATCACTACATAACCCTTATAGTTCACAAATCAAAACAAAGTTTGAGATGAAACCTCACTGGCCAGGTCTTTTTATTTGAACATAACAAGTGCAACTTGAAATAGGGCTAATCAAACCCATAAAAAAGAAAAATAGGAAACAAACTAAGAGCAACATCTGCAAACAGTGCATTATTCAACGTAACATTAAGGAAGCACTAATTTTTATAAGCTTAATTAGCCGCTTCTTAGCCTTTTACGACGTTCTTCGGGTTTTTGAGCTTCTTTCTCCAATGGAATTACAGCTGTCTTGCTTAGAAAATTTCTCCACCATACAGCTGAGTCTTTTGGCAACCTTGTAAACTGGCCATCCGCAAAGTTTATATAAAAAATGCCAAATCTGACGCTATATCCCGCAGCCCATTCAAAATTGTCAAACAAAGACCATATGAAGTAACCCTTCACTTTTACACCTTGGCTGAAAAAGAAAAGAAAAATCATGATCCTGAATTGAGTTAACAAAATAAGTAAATGCATTCATAATAAAATTAACTTGGACAAAAAATTAAATTATTTAATTACTTCATTGCTTGCTTAAGGTTGTAGAGATGTTCTTGGTGATAGTGAATCCTTATCTCATCAGAGAGAGCCTGTGTAGAAGTTTGGGACTTATCATTCACTTCGTCCACTCCTACACATACACAAATCATCGAGATATTATTTTCAGCAAATTAATATATATTAGTCAACATTATATACATCTTTGTATATAATTATATTTGACATAATAAATTAAACACAACCATTCTCCGTAATATAAATGACCGGATCATTATATCTCTTCTTCATATCAAGCATGAGCTTTTGAATTCCCCATGGAACTATATACAACCAATCAGAACCAGCCTGAAAAATGAAAGCAATAAATTGAACCAAAGGAAGTATTTTAATTCACTGTGGCTATTGTACTAGACATGAAAATGCATTCTTAAATTGTTAAAGTTATACTCCATAAGCTGATAAAATATAATCCAATATATATATATATATATATATATATATATTGTAGAAAGAGCAAGTGTTAAGAGCATACCTTTGCACCAATGGGCACCTTATTACGTTCAGCTAAAAAAAAAAAAAATGGGAGTAATTAGTATGCTATGTAGTATCTAAATTGCTTGTCATGATAAACTGTACAACTATGCCCATAAAAAGGTCTTAACACTTACTTGAAGGTGAGACGTGCAAATCAGTGAGATAACTATGAGTTGTTGGTTTTGTTGAATCATTGGTGGCATAAGTGGCCGTGTAATAGTTTATGCCTAAAAAGTCGTATGATCCTTTCACTAGCTTCTCCTCTTTTTCTGTAAATTTTGGTAGACGATCACCAACATTTTTAATCATACTTTCTGGATAGTCTCCAGTTACTATCGGTTCTACAAACCTTCAAAGACGAAAAAATTTGAAAAAGAAAAATAAAGTTATTGTAGTAGTTCGTGTTTGTAGAATGCTGAATGTAATAAAAAATTATTCTCGCTCTCTAATTGTTCGAACTTTTAGATGAAGCCATTCCACAAATAAACTAAGAAGAAAGTAATTTGGCTGATTGTTGTCAGAATATTGAGTTACCATCCAAGCATAAAATCATTTCCTCTGGTGGCAGCATCTTGATCTTCTTGAGAGTCAGTAAGAGGCTCGTACCACTGAATGCAATTTGTCATCCCTATCTTACCTCCTTGACTTTCCTGTAAGAGGAAATGTATCATTTGTGCAAACTACATATTTCTGAGTACTATATAAACACATATATATGCATTAAATTACTGATGAAATTAATATGTGGGAACCTGATATTTTCTCCTATATATATCCACTGCATAAGCATGAGAGAGGAGCAAATGATGTGCCACAATATATGGTTCTTTGCCTGGATCTCCATTCTTGCAAGCAATTTGAGATCTAAATGAACATCTATGAAGACAAGAATGCCTTTTAGCCTCTCCTGTAGTAGTTGGAGCTTTACCGCGATTAGGTGGGAAAGTGCCAATCACATATCCAGAAACACTAAACGACCATGGCTCATTCAGCGTGATCCAGTATTTCACTCGATCTCCGAACTCCCAGAAGCAAATCTCAGCAAATTCACAAAAATCCTTCCTGTAATATAGATAAACAAAATGGCAAAATATGATAAAAATTGTTAAGCTGGACTTTAATCTTTGGAAAAGGTGGTCCATTGTTTTAATTAAACTATAATCCAGTTTGTCTTTAAATAAAATTTTCTTCTTCTCTCGTCACTGATATTGAAGCAAATAAAAGATTTGCTTACTCTGGAATCATTTTGTAAATTTCTTAAATATCTTACTAGTAAATGTGCCTTTGAGATTTGAGTTACTTACACAATTTTGTCACATAGGAAGCCACCGTACTCTTCTTCCAAACATTGGGGAACATCCCAGTGAAAGATAGTTGCATATGGCTCAATGCCTACACAAAAGGAATTGAAAGAATGTGAAATGATTGATGATTTCTTCATTATACTCGTATGTAAGATGAAAAATTATTGCAGAAAAGCATATATATCAAATCTTGAACTTTATTCCAATTGTGAATTATGCTGATAAAAGTTGTTAAAGAAATAATACATACAAGTATTATGTAATTGACCTTACCCACTGCCAATAGTGCGTCAATGAGATTGTTATAGAATTGAATTCCTTCTTTGCATAAGCCGGTACTTAATCTTCCTCCTAATACACCAACACAGAATGTAAACTAAAATAAAACATTGACTCGCTTTAATAGACCACATGATGATGCACAAATTATATCCTTTTCAAGCTTGAAGTAACATGCCTGGAAAGATTCTAGACCACGCGATCGAAAATCTGTATGAATTCAAACCCAATTTCTTCATCAAAACCACATCTTCCTGCAAATTATTAAATATGATGGATAAAACTTGCACAGAAGCGTTCTAGAGTAGAAAAATGTTGTCCTCTGTTGTCTTATGAGTAAATGGATTATGGAAAATATTGATATGAAAATTAACAAGCTGCAAAATTTTTATTTGAAGTAAGCAAAATGAAGGGAAGATTAAAATTGTGTTTCATTTCTTCTATAACCTATATGTCCATGTTTGGCAGGAAGTGGCAATATGTTTTAGTGGATAATACAATTAAAAGGAGTTCAACTTATTAAACTTGTCCAAAGCAGTACAAAGCAAAATTTAGTTTAATTTCCTTTTCATTTACTTCTTTCTAATTTCATTTAATCCCCTCTTCCAAACGGCACACCATATCAAAAATTGCTGAAGTATACCCTGAACATATTATAGTGATCAATGGCAACACAACCATTGCTACTGTCAGAAATACCACCTGCCAATCAAATAAAAATATTATCAGCAATGGGCAAGTAATATACACACGCGCGCGCGCGAGGAACTGAAAAATGGGAAGAGACCAGGTTGTTTCTGTGTGAAAGCATCCCAGTTACTAATGCCTTTAGTTCCTGCGTTCCATCCACCTTCAATCTGCATAATTTTAGGACGAAGAAAATTAAATTATGTAAAAGCTAGAACAAAAGAAAATTACATGAGTACTGGTTTTTTTTCTTCTTTATGGAAATTACGAAAGTTCAATGATAATATAACTTCAATAAATACATATATGACACACATACCTGATAAGCTGAAGTTGCAGCACCAAATGCAAAATCATCGGGAAAATCAGAGCGCTTGATTTTGGTTTGGGTGTAACTGCCCGTCTGACTATTGATGGGAGATTCATTGGCGCTAGTAATCATCAGGAAGTTGCTTTGAACATCCATTGCTACAAATTAAGATTTAGGTGCACTTTGGAGTAATGCAAGTTAGCCTATTTATTGAGAATTCTGATCAGTTAGGCGCACATGCAATAATGAACTTCATCATAAATTTTATCACGGAGTAGTTGGATAATCATATTCACATGGGACCAATTCATTATGTTCCGGTAGGTTGATCATTAAATTTTGATGCTATACAATATGAACTCTGTGTGTAACATAGTACATAGTTGTAGTCCAGTCAAATAAGAATAGACTAGTAGTAGTGATAATGTCGACATCTGGTAGGAAAAGAATGAGAATAGACTAGTAGTAGTGATAATGTCGACATCTGGTAGGAAAAGAATGAGAATAGACTAGTAGTAGTGATAATGTCGACATCTGGTAGGAAAAGAATGAGAATAGACTAGTAGTAGTGATAATGTCGACAT